ACCCACTGCTCCGGCCCGGTACGCATGTCTGCCCCTCTGACCCCTTGGTTGTGATGGCTACCGTGTCAGTGCTTGGTGGAATCGAAGGTCACGCCATTTATACATTCGTGGTATCATTGTATTCATGAAGGTACTCCTCGCTTTTCTTGCTGTCCAGGCGCATGGCCTCCGATTATCGGATGCACAGTTGTGATCATCCACAGTCCCACCCCAAACCCCTCCGAATTTCGACCATGATTGCCGGGTGGAAGGCCCAGCATGGCCTCGACACTCAAATCTCATGATCGTATGACCAGCTGCATGGCTAGTCGCAGTCTATATTACGTTGTTCTCATCCTGCCTGTCTGCCCCCCAGCCGCTCTTGAGCACGATCAAGCGGGCCGCCACCCAGGCACGAGTTGCACAGAAAACGTCGGCGTCGCCCCATTCAGATGCGTCAAGTAGGCCTCGAGCTCGGTATCGCCGTCGATCAGCAGCGGCATCTCGCCGCCCTTGCCGTCCTTCAGAATGCCTTCGACACGCAGGCAGGCGGCATTGGGGAACTTCTCGACCGCCACGTGCCGTAGCTCCCGCACCGAGTGGGTGCTCATCGTCGCGATCCAGAGAGAGGTGCTCGTCTCGTAGGTCGAGAGGGGGCTCAGCCGTAGGAAGATGGCCGTGCTCGTGGACGGCGGCCCTGGCGCCGCTTGCTGCTGTTGCTGCTGCTGCTGCTGTTGCTGCTGCTGCTGGTAGGCCGCCGACTCGCTGTTCACCGCCATCAGCAACGACGATCCCAGTGTCGAATCCAGGACCACCCGCTGTGGATTGTGTGGGGATGCGTACGGCTGCTGCGCGCTGACTTGAGGATCGGGGTAGTTCGACTGGTACATGTGGTCCTGCCCGTTCCCTGTCGTACCGTCCCCGTCCTGCTCCTCGGCGTGGGGATTGTCGCCCATCGGCGCATCCGCAACCACGAAGCGGGGTTCGAGTCCTGGGCGGCTTGCCTGTTGCTGCTGGGTCTGGGTCTGGGTCTGGGTCTGGGTTTGCTTGGCAGCCTTGCGAGCTGTCTCTGCACTTGGTGTTGCCGAGGCCTTCTTGCCAGCCTGTGCCTTCTTCGCGCGTCCGACATCGTCCCATCGCCTCTTCATGACATCGCGGGCCAGCAGCTCGAGAGCCCGCAGCTTGTCCTCGTGCGTCGACTGCGTGTTGCCAGCCGTCAGCACGCGCTGCACAATCGGACACCGCTGGCCCCACTGGTTCTTCAGGTCATTCCACTGCTTGACGCCGGCCTGCGTCTTGCTGTGCACGCCGTTCTCCTCGACGAGCTTGTACCACGACGCGCGAAGCTGTCTCGTCTCCTCGGGGTTGATGCCCAGCACGACCCGCGCGTCGGGCAGCGTGAGGTTGCGGTTCTTGACGCGCAGGCGCTTGGTGCAGTCGGTGCAGATGACGTCGAGCGCCAGCTTCTTGCCGTCGTGGTTGTCTCGGCTCTGCCACATCTCGGCCTCGAAGGGCGGGAACTGGCGGATGAGCTCGTCCTTGAGGCCTTCCCACCTGTCCGGCCCGGCAATCGTCTTCTTGATGACGCCTGCCTCCTCGCAAAGGCGCGTGAAAATGGCGCGCATGCCGACGTACGAGTCCTCGTCCAAGCCCAAGATGGCTTTCGCCTCGTCAAGCGTCAGCTCGACGGGACTCGGGGGCCCGCGCATCCCTCGACCGCAGGCCCAAACACTTGGTCAGGCGACGCGGCTTGTTGTGCCCTTTCCCGGCAGGCGACGTCTTCACCGGCGCCGGGAACAGCTCGACGACTGGTTGCTGCTGCTGTTGTCCCTCGCCACCACCACCACCAGCAGCAGCAGCAGCACCCGATGGCGCCTGTTCCTGATCCTGATTCTGGTCCTGATGCTGGCCGGGCCTGGGACTCGCCGGCGTGCCGTCCTCGGCCATGGACTCGTCGTCGTCGTCGGGCCCCTCGGTCGAAGGGCGATCGCCGTTGCGGCCGCGCAGCATGAGGTTGTGCTCCTGACGAAGCCGCAGCAGCTCGCGCGAGCTAATCTCGTAGCCCTCCTCCTCGTTGACGATGCGGTGCATCTCGCGCTGGCTGACATTCTGCTCCCACAGCTCGCGCACCTTGGCGACGAGGTGGTCGTCCTTGCGCACGCGCTTGTAGCGGCTCGGGAACCCCCAGCGGCGGAATTGGCATTGCAGAGCGCGTTCGCTGCGAGGGCTCGATGTTAGTGAGGCCGCGTCTTGTAGTGGGGGTGGATAACATGACCCGTAGCGAGCCTGTGTGTATGTGTGTGTGTGTGTGTGTGTATGAAGGATACGGCGGGCGTCTTTTGTTGCGCCGAGTCCGGTGGGCGAGATGGAGGATGGAAACGTACCTGGCGCCAAAGTTGTGGTGCTCCTTCATGTAAGCGGCGATGACGCGAAACGACTTCTTCTCCTCAATGTAGAGGCGCTCGCATATTTCCTTGTGTGCCTCCCACTTGTAGACCATGATGGCAACGGTTGTGGTCGGGACAGAGCGGCCTGCCCGTTTTGTGTTGAGATGTCAATAGCTGCTGTGTGTGATTGTGCTGGGGTTGTAAGAGGGGGGCGACGTAGGACGAACGGCAGGAGGAGAAGTTTCTGCCTTGATGGTCCGATGAGCCAGCCGCAGTCGGGTGCGAAGTATGTGACGGACACACTGTGCGGCTGTTGGTGGGCTGGTGGGGCATCCACTCAACACCTGGAGCGTGCTGGACATGGACCTGCATCTTCATAGAGACCGCATCTTCGCTCTTGTGTCATCTCGCCTGATGCACGGGGAAGAATCGATGGAGAG